AGCTCCTTTAAGGTGACTATTCTAAATTCTCTTATAATTTATAAATCTCCATATCATTGTGGTTAGTTATTGGAGCTCTATTAGTTTCTTTTGGTGCTATCATGTTTTCCCAAATTCTTATGATCCTCAATTCTTTATGTCAACATCCGCCCATTTGAGTAAATAGTCTTTTTTTCCCAGGCATTACAGGTTTGCTTTGGCATAGATAGTCATTCACCATTTGGCTTAAATTGAGCTCTGCGTGTATCAGCTGGTAGCATCCTTGGGCAGGTGGTGTTCACTATCAGTGTCTATTTTTGGGTGAAGCTACTAACTGAGCTTTGAGGGTAGGTGCTGCTGGCTGAGAACAGTTGTGTAGGAACACTGGCTTAGTTACTTGCCCAGGTGAAGCTGTAGGATAGGCTCTGCAGTTTCCTGGATTCTCTAATCAGACTTCCTAGATTTCAGGACTGGATATATTCTCAGTATTAGGCAAGGTTATGAATTAGGTTCTTGACCTGGTGTGGCAGCAGAATGAGTCTCATGGCTTTTACAGCTCATGTTTGGGGACCCAAGTCAGGCAGCTCTATGTCCTGGCCAGATTGGGCTACTTGTTTTGCTCTACAGATATGGAAGGCCAAAAGCCATGTTATGTTCTCTATTTAAGTGCTATTGTAAGCAGGGCTATAGGATGGGTTATGTAGCATCTTGTGTGCTCTGGTAGATTCCTGGTTGGGTGGAATGAAGGCTGTATTCATCAGTGAGCTGGGATATGGATTAGTTTCCAGGTGTGGTAGTGTGCTAATACAGAACACAATTATGTTCTGCCTCTTGTTTGAGAATCAAATTAGACAGAAATATGCACTAAATTCCCTGGCTTGATGGGCCACCGTCCTAGCTATGCAGATGGGTAGGACCACAAGGTGGGCTCTCTGCTCAAGAGTTATTCTAATTGGAATTGCAAGATGGGATACATGGATTCCTGGAGCTCCAATTATGTTTTATTCTCCGATGGGATGGAGACTGTATTCACATTTGGGGAGGGTGGTAAATTAGTTTCATGCCCAGTTTTGGCTGCAGACTCTGCAGGCTCTGTAGATGCAGAGGCACTTGCTGAGGTCTCTGTTCAAGTGTTGTTAATTGGGCCTGCAGGGTGGACTACCAAGATTTCTGGAAACTCTAGTTAGGATTTCTTTGTTAGCAGGGTTGGATGGAAGCTGTATTCAGTGATGGGTGGAACTACAGATTAGCTTCACTCTCTAGGAATATTATGTATTCAATATTAGATTTTAATATATAAATAATGTATTTGGTATTATTGAACTAATGTTGTTTCTTGCACATGATAATGGTGTAGTGGGCAAACAGGTGAAAATCCTTATTTTTAGGAATGACATGCTGAAGTGTTTGTAACTTAATCTCAAAAAGTCCAGGAAAATGAACAATGTATGCCCAGATCTACCTCCATAGACAGATAAAGTTATATATAAAGAAATGTGTCTAACATTAATAGTAGATTAATCTAACTGAATGATTTAGAGGTAGTCTTTGAATTTTAAGTTTTCTGTAGGTTGGGTTTTTTCATCATAAAAAGTAAGTGGTATTTACCAAAATTAGTGACTTCTTAATGTAATCATATGTAAATTATACTTCAATAAAGTTGATCTGAAATTTTTGGAGTATAGTAACGACAAATAGGTATTTCAAAAAATCACTTACACATTATCACTAAGTGAAAAGGAAAAAGAAAGAGAAAGACACTGCTGACTCTAATCACTTGGCAGAGTGTGGTGTTGCCTCATTTTCATAGTCATAATCATCAAATTCCTAGTAAGAATAATTAAGCATTTTAGAAAAAAAACAAAACAAAACGAAAACAGTTGAATCCTGTTAAGTCCTAATCTGGAAATCTTTTATTTTTACCTCACAAGAGGTCTTGTGGAGGTGGGTCTTTTGGATAAAAATGGAGAAACTTGTTTTACAATATTTAAAAATATCTGAATATACAGTCTCAAATACGTAACTTTGAAATCAGTCCCCAAATATTCTCATAATAACAACAAAAAAGTCAAAAGGAAATACCATGAGGACATGAATAAGAAAATAAAAAAATCTATAGATCAGCTTCATTGATTACAGTAATGTGATTAGGTTATATATCTCTTTTAAAGTGCAAAGATTCTCAGATTCTATGATATTTGTGACAGAGCTTAAACAAAATGGCAGTGTTCAGTATAAAACATTAAAATAAAACGGGGCACCTGGGTGGCTCAGTGGGTTAAAGCCTCTTCCTTCAGCTCAGGTCATGATCCCAGGGTGCTGGGATCGAGCCCCACAATGGGCTCTCTGCTCAGCAGGGAGTCTGCTTCTCTCTCTCTCTCTGCTTGCCTCTCTGCCAACTTGTGATCTTTGTCTATCAAATAAGTAAATAAAATCTTAAAAAAATTAAAACCATCAAAAATATGCCAGGATTGTTAAAAAGATGACCAAGATGGTATTACTAACAGATAGTAAAATTCAGGATACAAAGCCTAAAGTAGAAGAATGAGCTTATTTATGTAGAGAGACATAATTCATGTTGAAGATGCATTTCTAATAATGAACACTTAGTTAACAAGTGAGTTATGAAGAAACTATAAAAACAAAACCTCTGGATATGTTCAGAAGAAAGTAACAAAACACAGAATTATAGTGGAGCACATTAAGGCATTTTTCTTAGCCTTTAACATATGGCAGAAAATGTTAACATATAAAGATCAAATTATTTATTACCCACTTTACTAACACTTATTTACCTTTGTATCTTCTGAACGGGTGCCACATATATTCAAGTATCTGAGGATGTCTATAGGAAATACATGCATGGGTAGTCATTTCCAGGTCACAAAGAAGACAACAGTAATTTTGTAAAAGTAAAAATCAATATGCCAAAACTCTATCATAATATACTAAAACAATAAGGAATAGAAAGAGATAAGGAAAAATAATAGAAAAAATTTTAAATACTACCATGAGTAAATTTTT